CTTTGACTCCTGTCTTCAGTCTGAGATGAACAAGTTCATCTCTTCAAAGAAAAAGACTGAGATTACCAAATCACTAAATTCAGCTCCAAGGCCGTGGAGTCCTGGCAGCCCTCAGCAGAATTTGGACCCGATCTGCCTATTTGGGACTACTCACAAAGAGAAAATCCCATCCTGTTTCCCTTCACTGAAAAGAGAGCAGGCTCGGGGAGATCAAACAAATTCAAGCAGAGCGTTTTCCGGCACATCGCGTAGCGTAAGCAGCTTTACCTCCCGTTGTTATCCTGGGAAACGAGGGGCGCTGGAAACCCCTCTGCGTGTTTTGCACCAACCCCGGCTGCTCGTTTCCTGCAGTCATTTCCTTGTTCCTGCCGTCCCCAGTACCCAGCCACCAATGCCAACCACCCCTGCGCGCCTTGGCTGCGAAAACGGCCACGGAGGAGATAAAGCTTTGTCTCTCGGGACGTTTGAAGCTATGAATCTCATTATTTCTCATCTCAGCTGTGAAATACTGAGTCTGGATGAACTAAACACGTCGCTGTACTCTGCGTCTGTCGAAATCAAATACCACAGGCTTTTGACATTTGCTTAGGATTTTAAAAAGGTGAAAAACTGAAGCGAAGTAAAAGTTTTAGGCAGCTAGGGAGAGAGGTGCCTTTTTCTTCCATTGAGATGAAGGGGAAAATATACTGATAGAAAAAAAACTTGAAGGGGGTCAAAGCAGCAATGTAATCACCGAAACGTTTCCTTTGTAGAAGGAACACTGTAAACAGCTCTGCAAAACAAGAACCGCTACATCGTGAAAGACTGAAAATATTTCCATGTTCTGTTCAAAGGTACAACCTCGGTACTCCAACAAACGATCTTTAAAACTGAGCAGAGCAGGAGGGCAAGGGTTGGTAAGGTTTGTTTTAGAAGCAGCACCTTGCTTGTATTTGTGGCGTTATTTTAAAAGCCCGAATAGCACACACAGTTTGATTGAAAAAGGAAGATTTAAAGCTGGGCAGGGCGCTGTGGGCAGCACCTGCACCACTGCAGCCAACCAGGCTTCAAACCAGCTTTTCACCGAGCTGTGCTGCTCCGTGGACTTGTAAGCTCAGATCTTTCAGCGTGGCTAGAACTGATGAAAGAACACAGGAAGTTCCACTTCAATTGGAGAAGAAACTTCTTCTCAGTGAGGGTGACAGAGCCCTGGCCCAGGCTGCCCAGAGAGGTTGTGGAGTCTCCTTCTCTGCAGACATTCAAAACCCGCCTGGACGCCTTCCTGTGTAACCTCATCTGGGTGTTCCTGCTCCGGCAGGGGGATTGGACTGGATGAGCTTTGGAGGGCCCTTCCAATCCCTGACGTTCTGGGATTCTGTGAAAGTAGATGAAACTCTACATTAAAGGGCCTCAAAATTACCTTAAAGGAGTATTTGAAGAATACTTTCTTAAGATTAAACCGCAGCATACCTTCATTAGGCAGCATTTTCTACTGCTGGACTGGAGGAGTCACTGGGACAAGAGCAGGTCTGCGCTGCAGTGTCAGTTGTGTCCTGCTCAGTCACAGGTGCCCACTTCACAAACACCACATTCCTGTGAAGAAGTCACTTCTCCACCTCTGCTTTTCCAGCTGGGGTCAGCAGGCCTCAGGACTCACAAGCACCATGTTCCTGTGAAGAAGTCACTTCTCCACCTCAGCTTTTCCAGCTGGGGTCAGCAGGCCTCAGGACAGAAGGCAGGAAAAGCTCCTTGTCTGCAAGCAGTGGCCAATGCAGTCTCATCAATAACGTGATGTTAATCACAGAGGAGCCAGGATCTCATTTCAGAGGTGCACAACAGGGAGGACTGACGCTTGCTTTCAAGCATGGCAACCCCTGAAGCAACACCAAGATCTGCACAGGGCAGTGGAAACAAGAACCAGGAGAGCTGTGGAGCAAATGCACGGCCTCTGTTCCCGATGGGAATCTCTGCACCCCAAAAAAAAACCACCACAGGCCATCGGTTGTTCTATGGGGACAGGATGCACAAAGGGGACGCCAAGCCAGGCATTTAGTATTTCCAGGGAGAAAGGAAGAGGGGATAAAAATGTATAAGAAGCAATCTCCTAGGGAAAACGTAACATCTCTGTAAGTAAAAGATGAAGTGAAGGGTGGCAAGGTACCATGAGGTGGGGTTTTTTTTTTGTTTTTAAAACAAATACTGAAGGCTTCAAACCACAAATGGTTAAACTGCAAAACTGTGGCTTTTATTTCCAAACATACAATAAATAGGTCCACCACAACTAGCCTCTAACTTCACCTCACACGGAAGGATCTTCAAATTAAGTTTGTGCATATTTAAAAAGTAAACTTCCCTTTGCACGTAATTCCATCTGTAACTGAACCGCATTACAGACTGGTGTATGGTCTTGGCACTGTGATACAAGCAACCGATTAGAAACAGAGCTCTGTAGCAAGGACTCGAACAAAAACGGCATTTGGAGTTGTTGATAAAACACCGATTTCTGAGGTATAGAAAAAAAAAACCACCTTAGAATGTAAATGCTGAAAATCAAGTTGTCTTCTCTGATGTTTCTCCAGGGGCTGCAAGGTAAGGAAGTGGATTAATGAAGCGTTCACTATTTGCTACATGATACAATGTTCATACCAAAGTATCTTCACTGCATAGCAACATCCCAGCTTTGCAAATGCAAAAAGAAACTCGCCGCGGTCTTTTCGTTTTATTCCTCATCACTGAATTTCGAGACATTTTTAACCACAACTCTGCTTCATCACAGTGCAGAAGGCCCTTAATATTTCAAGGATTTATTCAGTCATAACTTTAATACAAAAGTAGAGGCTGAGGAAAAGCCAGAGTAGTCTATACACAATGCACAATCTGTGTACATTCTGAAGCTGTACCTCTTCAAGAACTATTTATACACTCTTCAAACAAATCCCTTTATCCAGCAATTCAAAATACTTTAGATCAGAAGTTTTATATTAGAATCAATACATTATATGCATATAAATACATTTATACCCTTTGTTTGCTAAACAATCCAGATGGCTGCGAGGATGTGACCTGAACTGGTTCTCCATTGGTTTGGGACACCAAATTGCATTGGCAGCCGTTCACCACAAGTCATGGTAAAAAAGTGAGATCTTTGCACAAGGGCAGGTGTGCCACAGCATCAGTTAAGACCAGGAACAGTAGGTGACACCCGAGCCCCTTCGAGAGGGCCAGGATTTCATCTTCTGTGAGACGCAACACACAGGCAACACTTTTATCCTCTGTCAATGCCCCGTTCGTGAAAAGTCTCAGCAGAACAACAACAACAACAACAAATAAAACAAACCCCAAAGAAAACCAAACCAAAGCAAAGCTTTTACAACTGCAATTTTTCTTACAGGACAGGTGCTGCAGCTTTCAGGAACAAAGTACAAGTTCTATAATTACAAAATGAAAAAAAAAATATAAAGAAAAGGAAACAGAAAAAAAACCCTAATGTGCAAGCGCGTCTTTCAGAAGATGACAGCAAGGATCAATACCAGACTTCAGTTCAAGCTGAAACGCAGTATCCAAAGTGTCTTATGGAAAAGTAGTTCTCACTGCAAATCCCATCTTCAGTTACCGAGTGCCCTTACCTACACTTGCACTTGCACACGCACCCCTCCTGCCCCAGCACCAGCAGCACCAACCACCTCGATGCTTCCTAAGGCCCCCCAGGCCTCAGCCCCAGAGCTGCGCCCGGCCCCTCGAGCTCCCGCTGGACGATGGCACCGTCATCAGCACTGACCCACCACCCAGTATTTCAGGAGTATTCAAAGCAGCGAGCACTGGGGTAGCAAGAAGTGTTCTCAACCTTGTTTCTTAAAGGATACAGAAGTGTTGACTCTCTTGAGTATCCTCAGAAGGTGCTACAAGCTGTAAGTTTGAAGCGTTTCTTTCTACAATGCCAGGTATACAAATGTGTATCTTTTTAAATAATATTGCACATAAAAACAATCTTAAACTTCGTAGTGAAAGCAAGGCTGAAGGACAGTGTTTTCCAAAACAGATTAAAAAGCTACCTGTACACAGTAAGTTTTAATTTAAAGAACGCCAAGATTATCCAAAATCTAAGCACGTAATACTGACAGAAAAATGTTAAATTGCACAGTCTACGTATAAATTACATCTGTAAATACTTAAAAAGTTTTAAAACATTGAATACCCTTGATTTCACAAATCAGCTAGGTCACTGTCAAGAGATCAGCTTAATGAGTTAGAAGTCCTTTCCCCCAGAAAGAAAAATAGAAACAGAAAGATCTGCAGTCTTAGACGAAGCACTGGAAAGAGTTAAAGCATTTCAGCTCAGAGGTAGTGCTAAACACATCCAACTAGGAGTCCGTTAGATTTGAACTATGGTGAAATAACGTAGTAAAATGTAGAAAGACTATAAAATTTACAAAAATAAATAGTTCTGAATGCTTTAGAAAATGCAAGAGACTTTGTTGATAAGTGTCTCGATCCGCTTCTCCGACCAAAAGCAAGCAAAGCGTGTCTCGTTTTGTAAAAATACCCATCTCTAGTAACGCGTCTGCAATCCGTGCAATCCAGCTACGCAACTCGACGTATGCCAACTTGGCATAGACTCTGATATTAAAAATAAAGTGGAGGCTTTGTAAAAGATCATCTCATATGAAATTCGTTTTGCAGGTAAATTCTTCTGACAAATTAAAAATTGCACATAAAAAAAAAGTTTATTGAAAGAGGCGTGAGGGGTGGTAAGGGCATGTGTCTATTGTTCCACATACACCCTGGAAGGAAAAAGATGATTGCACAGTTCTGATAAATAAATATTTCTTTTTCTTTTTTTTAAAAAAAAAAAAAGTCTGCCACTTTTTTTGGTTTAGAAGAGTTGGAATTATTTAGAAAATCCTACTAGGATTATGTTTTAGTTTGTGTTTTAAAGAATTCTTTACAACTTTTCCAGTGGCTTTTATCCTGAAACCAAGTGAAAGTGGCAGTTTAAAAAGTATCTTTGGGTAAAACAAGTATCAGGATCCAACGAGAATTTCCATGATGTGGTCCAATTCACTCAGATCTGTTCTACATATCTGAATGTTGCTTGCTGAGGAAGAATTACAGGATGGAAAGGTTTTCAATGGTTCTTCTGTAGCAAGAGATGGTGGTCTGGGTGGCGTTAGTGGAGGGCAACAGAAGTCTGAATCATACATGGAAGTGTCAATATCCTCAAAAATGTCGTCTATTGCCAAATCCTTCAAGTAACTGGTTGAATTTGAGATCTCAAAGGAACCAAACACGCATTCAGCTCCCTTCAAATCCTGTCTATCATCTTCTAGTTTTAGACCTGTATTTTCTGGAAACTTTGGCTGGTCATCTCCAGTAGGAACCAGACAAGTAGGGGGGCTGATATCTTCTACAAAGTCTAAATCCTTCAGAATAGATGAAATAGCAGATGACATATCATCATCTGAGACTATCAGCAGGCTGTTTTCAATAGGGTCTTCTACAGACCGCAAGTTGCAACAGTTAGACTCTTGCTGACTAATACCTGAAGGCAACTGCAGAGAAATCCCAGATGTCTCCATCCCTGTGTAGCTGTGACAACTCGGAGCAATGCCAGGGCAGACGTTAATTGGCTGCTGGTTACTCTCTTGTCTCATTTCCTCTTGAATTTGCCGCACTGTGTTGGCTATGAGGACAGAGCGGTGCAAGTTCGGTTCCACCAGCATTTTGTACGTCTGTAACTTGGTGAGGCACATGTTAAGCACCAACTGCCTCTTAAGTGGGTATGGCAGATTTCGACTGGAATCAAAGGCACTCGAGAGACCAGCCATGTTCTCCTCATAGTCACTCAGCTTGCGCTTTAGACCTCTCCCCAACATGAACCTGAAAGAGAGAAATGACGAATTAACCTTGGGCAAGATTATCACAACTTCTGCAAGATCTCAACAGACACTTCCAAAAACTCTGCAGCATACAATGCATTGGTTAACTTAGACTCTAATGCCACAGAACACTGAAAGACAATAAAACCATACTTTCATTGAGAAGATGCACTTTCCAGCTTTACTGTTTCACGATTTCCCTTTTTTAACAGAAAACATGAAAGAAACATAGTAACTTGTTTTCAAAAAGCTGCATACTTCCAAGTTTTGATTTGAAGGTTCACTTTTAACTCTGAGAATATGAATTTATTTAAAAACTTTAAACAGGTGAGCTTTTTAGCCTCTTATCCATTTAAAGTATATACAGCATGCCAAAATTACTTAATGAGAAATATCTTGTGAAATAAAACAGAAGCTTACACTAAGGATTATAAGTATACAGAATATTTCAATATTTAAACATTCACTCCTAGGTACAGTAGTTAAGATTTTAGCTAGTTTCAACACCCATTTTTATCTCATCCAGGTATTCTTGATGTCTTGCTCAGTGTCTCTGAGAACTTTCTATAGAACTCATTTCTCTCCCTCTTTTCTGGTGAAAGTTGTTTTACTAGAGGTGAACCACCCAGCAAGACCAACGACAGGGCCTCCCATGGGATCCCTATAACCATTCTACAGCTTAGCAGGTTTAGCTAAATGGTGGGAGGAAATTTGGCTGGGCCAGAGAGCTCTCAGAATGATGCCCGGTGCTCATTGCTGCTGGTTCACAACCTGCTACTGACTTAACGCAGAGGACATCCAGCAGGAGGCTATCAAATGGCGTTTTTAAAGTGGCCAGTTTTGGTAAATAGCAAAAAGGAAGTTGCTTTCAGTCTGCTTTGTGTGCTTTTGCATTGAAATATGGTAGGTCTAGAACACTGTGGTACAAAAAAACCCCAAACAAACCAACCTACGCACGCACACCTTAAATACACGTGATCCAAACAAATACATGCTTGGATACCTTGCAACTACCATTCAAAATACAAAGTGTTTTATTAGGGACAACAAGCACTATGCAATCACTTCTGTAAATGCAGAAAAGGAATATACCACGCACAGGAAACACTGGTAAAATTTGATTACGTGCATCTCGATGCACCTATGCAATACAGACACCTCACTCCTAAACAATTTGAAAAAAATTAAGCAATCATAAATTAGATACCCAGTGGCAGATTAAGAGCAGATCCTTCCCACACAATGATCCAGACCCTGCACGCTGCAGAGGGCCTCCCAACTTCCTTTTCATGTGAGCACTGGACACTGCCAGCAATAGCTCAGCTGACTGCCACAGCTGCCAGCTGCTGGCCTGTTGCTAGACTTTTGGGGACAAGGAGATGGCAGCAGGATAAAGCCTCCTGTGCTTCTGGGATTTCTCCAGATTTGCAGGAAGCACCCGCAGGGCTCCACGGCCACATCCATCTGCCTAGAGAAGGCTGCTGGAGAACTCAGCTCCTCTGGAGGAACAGAAAGTGAGCAAGCAGTGCACGCTTCTCAGGAAGACACACAGGAAAAAACCAGAGTTGGTAAAGGGGTTTAAGACTTTTTGATCATATCCACTTTTTCTTTTAGGGACATACCTGGATGAAGTCAAATTTGACCCAAGAATGCGTTTTGACATAACAGGTAGTAGTTTGGCCTATAGTTCAGTTTACTAACACATTCACTGTTAACAAAACAATAAAAAACCTTATTACTTCTAATTTTACCAGTGCTGCAATTTTTTACAACTTTGGAAGTCTGTTTAACTCCAAAGTTTCCTGCTAAACTGCCACAGCACCAGCCGAATCTCTTTGAAAGACACAAGGTGTCTGGATGTGGTGTGCCTGTTCTCCTCTGTGATTCTCCCACCCTTACATCTCACTCCCCCCATTCCAGCACCCCGTTTAGAGCAAACCTGAACCAGACAGTGCTGAACACTCAATTACAAACAAAATCAGCAGAAATGTGGGTACAAAGTTCAGGCATCACAGAAAAGAATAAAAAGTATTTTGGGGGGCAGTATGAGCGAGTTGCAATCTATGGAAAGTCACAATTTATGGAAAAATCACAACTATGTAGGACTTCACAGTAAAACTGTTGCTAAATGTACCAACTGACAACATTTCGTGAAGACAATCGGTGTCTTCAAATCACAGAAAGCTCACAATAAAGTTATGAACTCTCTACTTTAAGTGGCATTTAAATGTTGCATACAACCCAAGGCATTACTCTATACCATTATTACAAAGAATAAAAACACATACATCCAAATGGCTATTTGTTCACTAAGCACCATCCTTCCCATACACTGCTCACTGGTTTGGCTTTCCTTTTATCTCTCTACTAATACAGACCAAAATTCACACCCACAAGGGAACAAAACGAAGAGCATACAGGGAACAGTAATTCTGACATTTTATACACTCAGAATGGTCGGTTCTGACAACTTACTGCTTTTAATAGAAAGGATATATTTACACTTTGTTAGACACACAGGAAATACTAGACTTATCTATTGGAATTATAGAAATACTGTTCATTTCTAGCATCTGAAAAATGGGGTAGTATTTAAATTCTGTAAGCAAGTTTGAAGAGCAAGCAAATTATATGTGAGAATATACAGTATCACAAAACCAACTTAAATTGAAATGGTTAGCTTTTAGATACAGCAGTCTAATTAGACTAAATATTTCATCATGCTCACATGCACAAACACCCTCCTTTTAATTCCTCAAATTTTCTTTGTAAGATTTGTCCCAGGGCATTCTAGAAATACGAATCAAAGCTTGAGCACGACAGCACTCTGAACTATAAAAATGAAGTGCAAGAAACAGTATTTGCTCCAACTTGAAATGTTTCTCCTGAACAGACTCCCCACTCTCTAGATGTCACAGATGACTTTTTTCTTTTCCAAACACACAGACTCCTATCCTCGTGATACACAAATTCTACCTGTTCAGTACGATTTTTGTCTAATTGCACGGATCTGCAAGACTTCAAAGGTTACATAAAAATTAGGGAAAACCAGAGTACCACCGGTACAGCGGATTTAAAAATGACTAGTGTCACGGTTGCTACAGGAGACATTAAATTTCAGTTCTTGTCAAACACACTCAGCTGCTGACCTACAAAAGATACAAAGCCCCTTTGTTACCAGCTAATCTACATTTTATCAGGCCTTTTGCTTTACTTCCTAGCAGAAGAATTTCTGACAGGGTCATATCCTTAACAAACCAGTCCGTATTTTCTAAGTAACCTGTCCTTTTGTTGCACTGTGTATTAACACACACATTCCAAACCCAAAATTCATAAGCCAGTCAAATGCTCTCTTTTGACAGCACTGATTCACAATATAAGATGTTGATCGCATTATTCAATTACGTGGTGCTCCTCTCACTTCAATTTTTGATACTAAGGAAAACAAACAAGAGCCCGCACAGAAATCCATGCTACCATGCCCAGACAATCCTGTATCGCTGAGTGACTGCTGCAGTTCAAAGCAGTGCAAGTTGGGCACACTAAAACAAAAACAGTGTCTAGAAACTGGATTCTCCTTACTCCAGCCTAATTCCAGGAACCTGCTCAGATCTCAAAAAATTGGATGAAGTAGCAGGATTTTTAAATGTGCCAATCTGATAATTCTGTAAATTGTAAGTAAATAAAACTGAATAAAAACTAAAGTTTACGCCAACTTCAAATGCGAGATGTACAGACAGCTGTTCGATAATGAAAGAGGCAAGCTGTAAGTCACCCTTCTCTTGAACTTTACAAAGCTATTCAACAATCAAATGTATTTTTCTTTTTAGTTCTGATGCTCTATTTTAGAATCTTTTGTCATGGAAAAAAACCCAATAAAACAAGAACCACGAGGAATATCACATCTCACTATTTTTTTCCTGGTATATTCTCATCTTCTCTCATTACAGTAATGCAGACTGAGCCACAGGCCATTTATAGCAGAACACTTTTTAAATTAAAATTATTTTGCACATAAAGACAAACCTTTTCTCAAGCAAAGTGCACTTGATGTTCAGGAGCGCCAAACTCTCCAGGCACGTCACTGAACCACAACGGAGTCTGTACGTGGAAATTCTGCCCCTGACACCATGTGCCTCAGATCCTTCCAGTTCCGTGGAGGACATTTCATAGAAACTCCTCCCTGCTAAGATGGGAAGATGCATCCATGCACTGTAATCCTACACCCTACCAGAGTTTGAAAAAACTTGGAGAAGAGGCATGTCCTTGGCTGGCAAATCCACACAGCATATCAGATAAACAGGCCCCGTCAGAACGTGCAGCTACTCAGAAGAAACATTCCAGGCTACCAAGAAAAATTCACATTGCGACGCGTTGCGGACAACACAGGACTCGTGCCACCATTTCAGAGGAAAAACACAGCTCCATCTGTCACAAGGTCTGATAGTGCAGTGCAGCTGCCACTGCCACACGGTTAGGAAGCGCAGCTGGAAACAGTTACAAAGAATGCAGCATGTGAAAACCCTCAACTACTTCTATCTGGGCAAATTACTTCTTAATTTCCTCTTCCACACCTTCCAAAAAAGGTTTTAAGAGCAATTTAAATGTTTAGAACTCGGAACTGCTCAGAGCTTTAATTTTCTGTAGAGAAAAGCTTCAAAAAACATGAGCATACAGAACACAACTGCCACAGTTAGTATTGTCTGAATACAAGCTTTTCACATACAAAAATAAGCACCACAATCAACTACGCAAGAGTTACTCATTTACCACTGAAGTACTGAGCCTGCACTGTGCAGGTCAAAACTATTTCATTGACAGTGGTCCCTTCTGGATTTCTTTTTAGGGTATTATTGAATTTACATTTGCTTGATCCTTTTCATACAGCCACGGAGTTGCATTTTCCAGCCTATGACTGGCTCAACATGAAAAATTACTTCTCGTAGGACAGAAATATAAGATTTGAATAGGAGTAAGCACCTATGAGTGAGAGCTGGCTGTCCAGCTTTCAGTAATGCAACTGAAGTATTAAAATAAAAACTAGACACCCATTGCTATTGTAATTTGGGCAATTCTCCTTCAAAATCTCCTTTGGTTCATAACTGTAGAAAGCATGTAACTATAAAAACACACGGAAGTCTTTCTGGGCTCTAAACTTGTGGTAGTGATGGACTGAAGCTAACTGACAACTTGATTTCCTGCTCTCCCCTCTCTTCCATGGACACCTCTTTCACAAGCACACATCCATCTGCAGGAATACAAACATCCCTACAGTTATGGTTATTTCCCAGAGTTATTCGCTATGTACTACGTACTATTTTTAATGACAGTCTTTACCCTACTTGACATACATTTTAGCTTAGGCAACACAACTTCATTCATATATTTAATGAAGTAGTGGACTGGCTCTTTGATTAGTATTCTGTGTATAAGAAGCTGCACAAGAAGAAGGTAAGGCTGAAGGTACACAGTTAACAGACACAGTATAAATCCTTTTCTCCCATCTGGACTTAACACTGATCACTTAAACATGACTTACGTAACACAGTAAGCTGTCAGACTACACAGAACAGTGTATCTGATCTGGTGTCCTCAGCAAGTGCTGGAGATCCCCACAACATCACATCTTGGTTGGCAGCAAAAAATTAAGAGGAAGTGAAGGAAAAGGATTACACACTTTAGAAAACAGCAAAGCAAGAAGTAATTTGGATCTGAAGACACTTTAAAATACACAAAAATGTATTTAAGTCCATTGCCTCCCCATCGCCCTCAGTCCTGCCCCAGTTTAGCCAAGATGAGTAACTGCTGGAGAAGGCACAAGTGGCTAAAATACAGGGAGAAGTGCAGTCCTACCAGCTTACTCCCATAGCTAAGCTGTGTAACAGCTTCTTTACAGCAGTCAGAAATGACCAAAAATAGCTGCTCAAAGAAGAGAGAATTAACATCAACTTTTTGGGCACCAAATCCTGACCTATCATACACCTCAGTCTGTTACCACTAAAACAACTGGGACACAGGACCAAGATATGCTGCTGTCCAGACCTACAAAAAAAACCTCAACCCAATCAAACAGCTTCACTTCCACCCCAAAGACCACACACCTATGGAGTACCTAACATCCTTTCCCACATTTTGAAAATAAGAGTAGGCTGAAGAGTATTCATTAAGAGGAGGAAATGAATGAGAGGGAGACTGAATCTAGCACAGAATTAGTCTGGAATTTGTAACATTCCCACTGCCACTTTGCTATTTGTGGTAGTAAAGGATAAATATGTATCACACATTAATATTTTAGGAGCTGAAATTATGTTTACAAAGCACTCAGAAGTAAGTTTTACCTCGATTTAAAAGTTAGTTTGAAACTCCCCCACACAAGCTGTTTATGTTATGTCTAACAGGATCTGAAAAATTCCTGCATTTCAAGGACATCTTCCTAAATCCCTTACTCCCATTTTATTTCATAAAGCACTGGTAAGAGCTTTGCTTTACGAACTACTGCAGCTAAGTTTCAGAGCACAGCATTTCATTTTTGGAGAAGAAACTCCTCTGTTAAGACATGTACCTTCCACAGACTAAAGCAGGAGGATCTGTGCTCTTTACAACAGTAAATAAACCACATTCGCAGCAGCTGACATCTATCACTAGAGGCTAATACAGACAGCTGCTGAGATAGTACCAGTGTTAAGTAGAGAAAAACTTCCATTCTTAAAAGAAAAACTAAACCACTTTCACTCTTCTTCTTCCTCTCCCTCTCTACACTTGTGTATTTAAGTCCACATTTACAAATAAAGCTCACAGGTGTCTATTTTTAATAAGAGTGTGTTTAGCAGATTATTTTATATTTTTTTTAGGAATCTGGGTGGATTTTTTCAATTTTATTTTAGCAGAAGGGCCTGGAATCGTTTAAACTAAGGGTCAACAACAGTTAGCAAAATCTAACACATGATCAAGAGTTACTAAATCTAGAAACTCTCATAATAAAACTAAACTGTAATTAAATGAGAACATAAAGGAGTCCAAACAAGAACCAAACCACCATGGTTCCACCAAAGTATCTCACTGGAGAGACAAATGCAGAAGTGCAAGTGTGATGGCATACCTCTTCAAAGCTTGTTCTAATTCATCAACTGAAGTTCTAACTCTGTTTTCCTTACAGTATCCATTTACTTCAAATGTATCCACCTACATAACACTGACATGTATTTTAGGGCTACAGTGGTCTAAAAGATCCATCAGTAACATTAGTTAGAGGTTATTAACTAGATCAAATCAGCGTGTCCATACTTAACAGAAAAATCAGACCATTAACAGTAGAAGCAACTGAAAAATAAAAAAGGTCTCTTTAAAAGAGGATCATGCATTTACTCTAGCTCTGTATGGGCTATTTAGATAGGTGATCTACAATAACCAAATCAGAAATCTCTAAATTTTCTCTAACAGACTAGCACACAGCAACTTTTCTCCAGTATCCAAAGTGCCTTCTCCTCACCAGAAAAGACTGCAACACTGCAAAGCTCTGGGGCACCTACTACAGAAATGGCATCAATTCCAGCAGCTGAACAGCAGACTCACTGCAGGATTGGGGCCTTGGTCAATGAAGTTCCAATAAATGTGTTCTTATGGAAATATTAAAATCTTTGTTACATTATAGCACTTCCTCATTATAAAGGGAAAAAAAATAAGTAATGCAGATACAGAGTATTCAAACCAAAGAGCTTACTCTACTCAGTAAGCCTAAAGCACTTTACACTGTACACTCCTTTTCAAAAATTATTTTTCAATTTATCGTTCTAGGTCACAAAAATAACATCTACAGCTGATTATCAGAACATGTGCTATACACGAGATACAATTTCATAAAAACATGCAAGTAGTTACCCTTAGAAACCAGAAAGGAGTCCAGGCAGGAAGATTCCAGATTTTGCATAAAGTGTGGTCATCCAAGAGTCTTGAACTATTTGAGAGGCCAAGCCATCCACCGAGGTAGGATGATGTGACTAAGGGGAAAACCAAAAGAAAAACCAAACAACAGAGCATTTAATTATTACGTGAACTATTTTCTAGCACACAATTCAACTTTTAAAAATCCTATTAAACCAGTTAAACTGAGTAAGAAAACCTGAAGTTCATTAATGCACTGAAATAAGAGGACCTAACAGTTTTACCTATGAACACATAAAACGTGGAAATTATCTTCCATAAATGAATACTACAGAATAGAACACTGATCCTCCACGTGTCAGGCCTTAGGAAAAGAACTTGCATTGGTACTTCTCCAGGTTACTGAACACTAATTTACAGCTGTCATCATCTCAGAAATCACGTATCAGGAGAGACAATACCATGAACTGTAAAGAAGTGTATTTCAGAATTATCCCCTAACATTTACAGGCAGCAAAAGGAGTTAGATTTTTATTAAGTTCCCTAACTTTCATTTTCAGCATACATAAAGCCAATATGAAAAGATAGCTGGCAGGATGTCCTATGATTGCATATAATATTCAGTGTGGCATCATTTTCATCAAAACCCTGATAAAGCAGCATCTGCAGTTTGGCTAGAGACCACACGGATTAAATAATGGATTAGATTAAGGCACTGGAAACTCTCAGAAATGTGAAAAGGCCAAAGTGACAGTAAACTATGGACTAGGCTGGGAGATAAGGAAGGAACTACACGATCCATGCTCTTGAGGTCTCAATTCCACCTGAAAAACCAGAGGTTTTTTAAATTCCAATAATTAAACAGGCTTACACAGGCTAACATCCTCCAGTTTGGATTGCGTGCATACGACACACATACAGACAGACACCTGCCCCCAACTACAGCAAACCAATGACTTCACAAATTTACCAAAGAGCAACCATCAGTACCTATCCAGATAAATACAGCCCTTCATGAGCAGGGATCCAAAGTTTGTATGTTATTTTACAGATCTTAAAATAATACTTAGTGAAAGGCAGTTTTACATTTAGATAGATGAACAAATAAATGAATGCAGTTCATCTTACACAGCAACTCATAGTGTGATGCTAGCAAAGGGCTCCTCCGTTTACTGAGTCTATAAATATGCAGTAAAACAGCAGTAAAATGCCCATGACTTAAGAGTGTCAAATCTAACCCACAGCAATAAACACATTAATATCTCCCTCCTCCTTCTAGAAGCTGACTTCTTCCCTGTCATAAGGGGAGCCAGGCTATCTGTAAACGAACAAACAAAAAAAAACAAATAGACAAATGAAGACTCCTAACTTATTTGCTTTGAAATGGGAGGACTTCAGAAGGTCACTGTTGAGGTTTATTAAAGTGTACTTGTTAGGTCACAGGGGAAGGTGCGCATTCATTGCACTTTCTAGACAATAAAAGAACAAATGTTTTGGAATGTTAAAGTCTTTTTGTCATTCAAGAACCCTAAAAAAAGCAAGAAGCACACTAAAATATTGATAAGATTTAGACCAGCACCTTAGTTAAAAAAACTAAAAGCTTTCGATAAGAAATTAATACTGTTAATTGTATTTTAGAAGTCCAACCTTTTGCTAGAAAGGTGAAGCTCGAGAAGTTATAAAATTTAATTCCTTTATTATTCTGTTTAACGGACTCCTGCAAAATGAACTGTTGACATTATTAATTTTCCCATACATGAGGTAAGGTTACTAGGCTCGTTTTTTTACAATCTGTTGAAAAAATACAGAAGACACACAGTAGCTGTAAATCACTATGAATTACACGTGCGGATTATTCTTTTTCCTTTCATTTACTTTCACTGTCTGAATCAAAGACAAAGTAGAAAACTACTGCGCAGGGCTCCTACTGATGTTTTTTGGAAATTAACTGTTCCTATATAGTTTGAAGAATTCCAGGCCTATCTAGGGCAGAAATTATTAACTGCATCTATTACTTAATTTATGATATGGATAAAAGAGACCAAGCTTATGCACCTCCAGTCTTTACCCACCTACTTGCAGTTCAGACTAACGTTCACGTTTATTGAGACAAAACCTGCTATTAAGATGTAACTGCAGCAAACACACAAGTTGCAACTATCAAGAGGCAGCGATCACGAGTGCCAGAATTAAAAAGCTGCAATTCAGGGAAAGCCTCTTCCCTGACACCCTCCCTGCGAGCGCACAAGTCCGAATAAAGCCCAAGGGAGCCTGCCACCATTTGGCCTTTGTGGAAGGAGC